GGAGTCTATGTCTGATGCGGAGATGCGGAGAATGAAGTTGCAGCTAGAAATGCAAAAGTTAGAACTTAAGGAAAAAGAAATACAGGACAGAGAGCAGGAGGGAGAGCTAAGGTTTCGGGAAAAAGAGAGCCAACAGCAACATGAGTTTGAGCTGAGTAAATTGGAGCTTGAGGCGAGTTTCAGACAGGAGTCTACTCGTTTGTCAATCAGCCAGAGTAGTGGTTCCCAAGCACAGTTTGATGTGAACAAATGCATTAGATTGATTCCACCATTCACTGGGAAAGATGTGGATAAATATTTTGTTTTGTTCGAGCGTGTGGCGAGAACTTTGAGCTGGCCTGAGAGTGTCTGGCCGCTGCTGCTGCAGTGTGTGTTCACGGGGAAGGCGCAAGAAGCGTATGCCTCGCTGTCACCGGAGGTTTGGACTATAGCAGGGTCAAAGTGGCAGTGGAAAGGGCTTATGAGCTGGTACCGGAGACGTACAGGCAAAGGTTTCGCCACTACAAAAAGTTAGACACTCAAACCTACGTAGATTTTGGGCGTGAGAAAATCTCTTTGTTTGAGAGGTGGTGCGCTGCACAAAGCGTTAGTACTGTGGACCAGTTAACTGGTCAACTCTGTGGTCATAAAAAATTGCTGTTCATCTCAACGAACAGAGAGTTGGGAAAGTAACAGAGGCCGCAGTGTTAGCGGACGAGTATGTGCTGACCCATAGAGACTATGCGCAGGCTGTGGGCTCGAGGAAGAGTAAAGAGTGGCGCGACGAGGCCTCTTTGAGACCAGATGTGTCAAAGCTTAGTGTTAAAGGCTCGACCACAGGGGACTGGGAACGTGTTTGTCACTTCTGTCAGAAGCGTGGACACATTAAGGCGAATTGTTATGCGCTGAAGAACAAGTCTGGGGGGTCCCACGCTGATCCTAAGGGCGCGGGGTTAGCGGTACCTGTGCGTAATGGGGTGAATGAGGTGGAGCATTTTGAGTCTGAGGATTGTGACTCGTACCTCCCTTTCATCTGTGAGGGCTATGTGTCATTACTGGGCCATGACAAGAAAGTGCGGGTCAAGATATTAAGAGACACAGGGGCTTTTGACTCTTTTATTCGTGCCGATGTTTTGCCGTTGTCCAGTGAGTCTGAGACTGGGGCATGTGTGCCAGTTCGGGGCATGGGATTGAACGTGCTCTTTGTTCCATTGCACAAAGTTTCTATAGAATGTGAGCTGTTTTCTGGAGAAATGGCGTTGGCGGTACGTCCTGCATCGCCGATAGCGGGGGTCTCTGTCATTTTGGGTAACAGTTTGGCGGGGTCTCGTTTGTGGGACGCTGCTCCGTCACTTGTGCCCATAGAAATGGATCCCGGGCCGCTGGTTGTTCCCCACACCAATGAAAATAGTACAGAGTTTCCGGAGGTGTTTACAGCGTGTGCCGAGACTCGGGCCATGGCGCGGGCGCAGCCTGGGAAAGAGGGAGGTGTGAAAGACGTAATCTTTCCTCTGTCTGATTTTCCTGTGGCTTTGACTCACAGGGACCTGGTTCTTTCCCTAAACAACGCGATCCGTACTGAGCTGTTAGCTACAGTAGCAGAATGTAAACAGGAAAAGAAGCGGATCTCAACCAGGGCAACGAGGTAGTCTCTGGTGTTAGTATTAGCGCCACCAGCTGAACCAAGTGTTGTACTACAGCACCATTTCCCTGGCACGGTTCAGACAATATGTTCATGTGACCTCGGGCCGTTTTCACACCCCTCTGGCGACGATCTGGGCCACTTGGCCTAGTTCGTTTGGAAAAACCTATGTGAGCGTGCCCTAAGGCTGCGTGTGCAGTCAACAGGGTTGTCGGGGTGACTGAGTTTAGCACCACGGACAGCTCCCTGTCACCTGGTGTGAGAGATGACAGCGACGCTGGTTCTCTGGACAGCGCTCTTATTCAGGGGTGTCTTTAAAACTCTGAAACTTTGAGAAACTTGGACTCTCCGTTTGCTCATTTGTCGGGGGATCGGGCGAAAACAGTTAGTGAAGTTGGTGCAAAAGTTTCCCTCTTTGTTTTCAGATACGCCGAGTCGCACACCTCTACTTGAGCACGATGTAGATGTGGGTGACTCCAAGCCTATAAAGCAGCGCTTTTATAGGGTTAACTTTGAAAAGCGTCAATACTTGGATGCAGAAGTTAGGTACGTGCTAGAAAACGGGATTGCAGAACATAGTAGTTCTGGACGTCCCCATGTATTCTTGTGCCCAAATCTGACAACTCTTTGGGGTTTTGTTCAGATTTTTGAAAGTTGAACGCCGTTACTAAACCAGACAGTTTCCCGTTGCAGAGAATGGACGACTGCGTGGATCAAGTTGGTTCCGCTCGGTTTGTCAGAAAATTTGACTAATTAAAGGGATACTGGCAGGTGCCGTTAACACGACGTGCCCGAGAAGTCTCTGCGTTCATAACGCCAACTGGCTTGTACTCCTATACAGTCATGCCATTTGGCCTACAAAATGCACCCGCGACTCATGAACAGCGCCACAGGAGATATGTCAAGTTGTGCGGTGTATTTGGACGACGTTGTGTATTCGGACTCGTGGGAGGAGCATTTGGAGCGCATTGAGGAGCTTTTCACTTATCTGGTGGGGGCGAGGTTAACAGTAAACCTTGCAAAGTGTGAGTTTGCAAAGGTTACTGTTACTTATCTGGGACGTGTCGTGGGTCAGGGCCAGGTCCGACCCGTTGCAGCTAAAGTCGAATCCGTTGAGCAGTTCCCTGTTCCGGTTACAAAAAAAGAGCTAATGCGATTTTATATCTGTTGTGTCACCATTAACAAACCTGCTGCGTAAAGATGATACATTGTGTGGGTTCGAGCGGGTGAAAAGACTCCTCTGTGCTGTTCCCGTGCTCGCCACGCCTCGTCTGACCAAATCATTTCATCGCTACGTGGACGCAAGCCACGCCGGCGCTGGGGCTGTCCTTACGCAAGTAGATGACCTTGGTATCTAAAGGCCGGTCAGTTATTTTCCTAGGAAGTTCAACAAACATCAGCAGAACTATTTGGTGATCGAGAAGGAAACCTACGCTTTAATTCTAGCATTGCAACCCTTTGATGTTTACCTAAACGGTAACGCTGAGGCCGTGGTCCACACCGACCATAACCCGGTCACGTTTTTGTCAAAGTTAAAATGTCCAAACCAGCGGTTAATTCGTTGGTCACTGTTTTTACAGACTTATAACATGGACATCCGCTACATTAAAGGGACAGATAACTTGGTAGCTGACGCTTTGTCGCGCGCTCCGTTATTGTAGTGTTCCCATTGCATGTTCTCCACTTCTTTCTCGCTCTCCTTGTATCCAGATTACTGTGTGCACCAGTTGCTGGACGGAGGAGTGACCAGGAGCTCCGTGGGTGCGGGGAGGGCGAGAAGCCAGCACTGCGTTTGAAAATGTCTCAAAATCAGTTAGTGCAGCTTTAAAGCACTGCTTAGGTGAAAGAGAAAAAACTTGTGGCGTACACACTGTATATAGCAGGAGCTTTCACTTTTACAGTTAATATTGTACCTTAGCAGTTCTTGTTGTACAGTCTGACAGCAGCGAGAAGGAAACAACCTCTCCTCACACAGCGGTGGACCAGTCTGTCGCTGAAGCTGCTCTCCTGTGGACATTGGATGGATTTACAAATGTGACACAGACTTATGCAGAGGTGTTTTGTTCTCCATGTGAGGACCAAGCTCTCACAAAACACTGCATCTCATGTTTACGATCACAACATGACCCCTGAGGGACACCGTAGATGCAGCACTAGCTTGAGTGTTTGAGTTCCCAGAGAACAGGTCACATGTAACTTATATTTATATATTTATGAACAAAGGTTTAAAAGTGAGTTATTCTTGATAAAAATACATTGTTCATAATATTTATGTTCAGGCGGATTATCCAATCAGAGAGCAGAATGAGGCTCTGATTGGATTTAGCTGAATTTACAAAGTTCACAAATGAAGAAAATAGCAGACGACATATTGAAGTTTGTTTCAGTTCAAGCTGAACTCCAGCAGGTGGATTGCATCAGTGCATTGGAGCTACACGTGTCACAGGATTGTAATGACTTTATTCTACCACAAAATATGAAATGTCAGGAAAACTATCACATTCTTCTGTTCTAGCAACAACAATAAAAGGTTTGGAAAAGTATACAGTCTGTCATGTGACATTTCTAAAACTGCCCCTCCCTCAATGGCTCCTGATTGGCTGCTGTGGGCCAATCAACAGATAGGGGAGGGAACTTAATCAACTGCAGCTGAGAAACAGCAGACATGAAAGACTTTCGAGACTGAAGCGTCACTCACTGTTTGTGTCAAACCACTTCCAGGATTTTTGCTGAAACTCTGCTGCTCCTTCTTCTGCTGCTCCTGTAAGTTTCAGACTCAGTCATGAGTTATTGTTTGCAAAGTGGGAAATAGAAAGTTACATACTTTATCGCATTGTTGGTTCAGGACTGGACCAGGTCTAAACTTGGTGTGTAATTAAAACTAACATGTGAATCAAAGGTTGTAATATTTTTCTAAATATGTGTTCTGCAAAATGGCGGTCAAATCAGTACGGAGGAAGCTGCGTTGATCTCTCCTCCTGCATAAGTCTAACACAAAAGTAGTCCATGAATTTATTTCCATGGGATTAGCTGGCTTCAATCTGTGGTAAAAGATCTTTCATTTGACTGCTTATTGTGGCGCATTGAACCGCGTGGAACCAGAGGAAATCCACAACTGGAGACCAAAGCTGAGACCATGGCGTCTTCAGAAAGTTTAACTCTGCTTATTGAAACGGCGCTGGAGAAACATTTTGCTAAATCCGAGGCAAAATCAGAAGAAGCATTTGCTCGTTTGGAGCAAGGCTTGGATTCACTTCGTGTTGATTTCTCATCACTTAAAGAAGAAACAAAGGCTCTCAGGGAAGCAAATGCAAACCTGTTGCAGCGCACGGCAAAAGTGGAGCAGACGTCTAAAAACGTATCTAAAACTGTGACAACAATGGAGATAAAGCTGGCCGATTTGGAGGATCGGAGCAGACGAAATAATATTGTGGTACACGGGCTTTGTGAGCGTAGAGAAAACTTTAATGCTTTACAATATACCACAGCCCAGCTCCCCCTGTGGTTCCCTGCGCTGAAAGACGCGCCTCCAGAAATCATGAGAGCACACCGCATTGGAGCTCCCCGGAGCAAAGCAACAACACCAAGGGTCATGATTTTCATGTGCTTAAGATACACTGACAGAGCAAGGATTTTGAAAGCTGCGAGAGACTCACCGCTGGTGATGGAAGGACAGCAGGTCCGCTTCACGGCTGACTACAGCGTCGCAACCCGGGCTCGTCGCAAATCCTGCTATCCTGTCATGGAAAAGGCTCGTCAAGCGGGTTACGAGGCTTTCCTGCTTTATCCAGCCACGATAAAAGTGTCCAAAGGCCATGAGCACGAGGTATTCCAAGATCCTGTGAGGTTGGAGAAGTTCCTCGAGAGTCAAGAGGATGAAGAATCCTTTGGAAACACGACGCGGGCTCAAGCTGCTCTGATCGATGATGAGAACAGCGTCACATAAGCAGTCACACTGTCAGCTACCCTAACGTTCCCATTTTCATTCATAAAATCTCAATACATGATCATAATCCTCCAAAACTAAAAGCTGTAACTAGTGTTTTGGTTCCACACTGCCGGTCACGTGACGAAGATGACAACGCTGGTGATTGGGTGAGTGCGTCACATGACCGCACGCGGCGAACATTACAGGATGACAGAGGACAGTGACTAATGAATGTTCGTATAATGAAATGAACTAGAGGGAACGCATTGTATAATATGATCATGATGGACTAAGGAATATTTTTGTTCAGCAGGACAATAAGGAGAACGTTACTGCACTAGTTTCACAATGATTACTGACTCTGGGGGTGTGCATGGGAGGTGTGAGTGTGTGTGTATGTATTTCCAATGTATACTGTATTTTGAATTGGGACCTAGTTACTATGAATGTAAAGCTAGAGATTACAGCACTATAGTGGTTAATAATAAACTTCATTATCATCAATGACTTTTAAAGTGACTTTTAAAAATCTTCCTAAGAAGGGACTAAAATTGGCACATTTGAATGTGCGGAGTCTGAGAAATAAAATGATTGACATTGCAAATATTCTAAAAGAAGGTAATTTACATATTTTTGGAATCTCGGAGACCCATCTGGATTCTACATTTGAAGACTCCTCATTGTATATACAAGGTTACAGTTTATATAGGAAAGACAGAAATGCAAAGGGTGGCGGAGTTGCTCTCTATATACAAGAGCAAATACCTGTAAAAATAAGAATGGATCTAACATTACCCAATATTGAAGCATTATGGCTTCAAGTCCATATTCCCTATTTAAAGCCCTTACTGGTTTGTTGCTGTTACCGTCCACCCAATGCAAACTCTGCTTATCTGGATGATTTATGTACAATGATAGACAATGTATGTGATTGTCAAAATGAAGTCTATATTCTGGGAGACCTTAATATAGACTGGAATTTGATGCAGTGTCCTTTGAAGGACAAACTTCTATCTATTGCTGAAGCATGTGGTTTAGCACAGCTCGTGACTAAACCAACTCGAATTAGCTGTAGAACTGATGGAACTAAAACATCTACTTTGATTGACCATATTTTCACTAATGTTGGTGATCTTTGCACCACAGCCATATCCGTTCCAGTCGGCTGTAGTGACCATAACCTTATAGCAACGGTGAGGAAAACTAAAGTTCCAAAAGGTGGACATAAAATAATTGTTAAAAGGTCATACAAGCACTTTTCTGAAGATATCTTTATTGAGGATGTCCGTAATATTTGTTGGGATGAGGTATTGATGACAGATAGTCCAGATGAAGCAGTTGAAGTTTTCAATAATATGTTTTCACAAGTAAGTGATAAACACGCTCCTTTACAAAAGAGAACGGTAAAAAATGTGAGAGTTGGTTGGATTGATGCTGAACTTAAAGACTGCATGGTCCAAAGAGAAGAGGCTAAAAGAGTGGCAACAATATCTAATTATGAATCAGATTGGCAAATATACAGGAAATTGAGAAACTACACAACTAAATTAAACAAAAATAAAAAGAAATTGTATTATAAAAATCTGATCATAAATGAGAAACATGATAACAAGAAATTATGGAGTATCCTGAATAATATGATGGGAAGAAATTCTAGAACAACTCCTTCATTCCTTGAATCAGGGGATTCTTTTATTACTAAGCCACTGGATATCGCCAATCACTTAAACAATTATTTTTGTAATAAAGTAGATCAACTAAGAAGTGATATGGGGAAAACTGATAACTCAAGAGCAGAATATCTAATAAGGAATAATATTATGGCAGGAAAGAACTGCGAGTTTGAGTTTACTAATGTTGATGTTAGCCAAGTGGAAAAAATATTATTAGAATGTAAAGAAAAACCCTCTGGTGTCGATAATATTGATTCAAAATTGTTGAAAATTGCAGCAAAATTAGTAGCTCTTCCTATTGCACACATTCTTAACTTAAGTTTTAAGGAGGGGGTCTATCCACAGGCTTGGAAAACGGCTAAAATTGTGCCTTTACCAAAAAATACTAGGGTTCCATTCTGTGGTCCTAATAGTCGACCAATCAGTTTGCTGCCTGCTCTGAGCAAAATTATGGAGAGGATTGTATTTGATCAAATTCAACAATATTTTTCTAATAACAACCTCAATACAGATTTCCAACATGCATACAGAGCAGGTCACTCGACTGCAACAGCTATGGCTCAGATGACAAACGATTGGTTGGCAGCATTAGACAATAAAAGGTTAGCAGGAGCTGTGTTGCTGGATTTCAGCTCAGCTTTTGATCTTATAGATCACAACCTTCTGCTGAATAAAATGCAATGTTATGGGTTCAGTCCAGCAGCATCACTGTGGCTTGAGAAGTATTTAGAAAACAGGAAACAAACTGTATTTTTCAATGGAAGCTTCTCAGACGTAAAAACAATTGGCTGTGGTATACCTCAAGGAAGCTGCCTTGGACCTCTCCTGTTTTCTATTTTTACAAACGACTTGCCACTAGTACTACAAAAATCAAAAATAGCATTGTATGCCGACGACTCAACCATTTATTCATCACAAAATACGGTTGAAGAGCTGGAAATTATTTTAAGGGGGGAATTAAAATTAGTGTGTGAGTGGGTTACCAACAACAAGCTAGTTCTGAACATTAGCAAAACAAAAAGTATTGTATTTGGAACAAAACATATGCTGCTGGATGAACCCAAATTGAGTCTTGATCAGAGACGGAGCTGTGGAGCAGGTGCCACAGACCAGACTGCTTGGTATTGAACTTGATAATGAGTTGTCTTGGTCAAAGCATATCAATACGGTGGCCAGTAGAATGGGGAGGGGCCTCGCTGTGGTTAGAAGATGTTGTCATATGTTGTCTTCCAGTATGACTGCAGATGTTTTAAAAACCCTGGTATTGTCACAGTTAGATTACTGCTCAATCATATGGTCATGTGCTGCAGTAACAAAGGTAAGGACTTTACAAACTGTCCAAAATAGAGCAGCTCGCTGTGCTCTTCGGTGTTCCATCAGAACAAATGTAAACTGGATGCATGACACACTGTCCTGGCTCAAGGTGAAAGAGAGATTCACTGGTTCCTTAATGAATGTAACCAGAAACATAATTAAAAGTAAAGTTCCAAATGTATTGTACAGAGAGCTAAATTTTAGTCTGGAAGAGCATCATTATGAAACCAGACATGCCACAGAGGGCAAATTTAAACTGCCCAAAGTAAGAACTAACAATGGAAGAAATACTGTAATGTATAGAGCCATGTATGGTTGGAACACTTTGCCCAGTGACATTACTCATGCAAACAGCAAGTACCAATTTAAGGCCCTTCTGAAAAGACATCTGTTTCATGTAACTGGTTGATTTTATAAAGTTGTGTTATGTGACCAAATGTTTTGCTGCTAAGAGTCAGATTAATCTCCTTTTTTTGTTTTTTTGTCAGAATATTTCTAGGTCCTTTGTACAGTTGCGTGTGTATGTAAGAATGTATGTTGTGTGTGTGTGTGGGGGGGTGGGGGGTGTCTTTTATTGTATCACTTGTTGGTGAAAACTGGTGTAAAACATGTTTTGTGACCAGCATGCTGGACTGACTCCAGGAAGAATAGATGTACTTGTTACAACTAATGGAGATCAAATAAATACAAATACAAATCGATTAAGTATTTTGTAATTATTGTACATTTGATAATAATTACTGTCACCCATTTCCTTTTGCCACAGAGAGAGAGAGAGCTGCGTGATCCACCAACAGGATGTCCTTTACATGTGACCAGTGTGGGAAGAAGTGGCCCAAGGCTTCAGTACTAAAGACCCATATGAGAATCGACAAAGGAGAGAAACCACACGAGTGTGACCGGTGTGGGATGGGATTTATACAGTTGGCTTCCCTCAAACAACATATGAGCATCCACACTGGGGAAAAATCATACAGCTGTGAAGTTTGTGAGAAGACTTTTTCTCAATCAGGAAACCTAAGATCACATATGAGCATCCACACTGGAGATAAACCATACAGCTGTGACCAGTGTGGGAAGGAGTTTTCACATTCTTCTACCTTAAAAACACATATGAGAATCCACACTGGAGAGAAACCACACGAGTGTGACCAGTGTGGGACTACATTTGCACGGGTAGCTCACCTCAAACAACATAAGAGTCCACACTGGAGAGAAACCATACAGCTGTGAAGTTTGTGAGAAGACATTTTCTTGTGCAGGAAACCTAAGATCCCATTTGAGAGTCCACACTGGAGAGAGGCCGTTCGGATGTGTAGTCTGTGGAAAGCCATTTTCACACTCAAGTTCCCTCGTAAAACACATGAAAGTCCACACTGGAGAGAAAGATAGATAGATAGATAGATATATACTTTATTGATCCCGAAGGAAATTGTGCACTCGTCCCTTGCTCGCAATCATACAGCAATACATACACAGGTAAGAATTATAGGATGCAAAAGTTAAAAACGAGACAATAAATACATTAAAAACAATAAAAACATTAAAAGAGAAGTTAAGGCACTGCAAAACAATTCTCAAGACACCCCACCCCCCCCCTCCCTCCCCCCCCTGCTCCTCCCTGAAGTGGCTTTGTTATAGAGCCTGATGGCGTTGGGGACAAAAGAGTTTTTTAATCTGTCCCTGGAGCACCTCAGAGAGAGGAGTCTGGAGCTCATGGTGCTTCTCTGGCGGGAAAAAAATGAATTCAGTGGGTGGCTCTGGTTGGACAAGATCACCCTGATCTTGGAGAGCGTTCTTTGCTCTACCACCTCCTCCACTGAATCCAGACCCAGACCCACCACAGAGCCCGCCTTTCTAATGAGCCGGTTCAGCCTCTCAGTGAAACCACACGAGTGTGACCAGTGTGGGACGGGATTTACACGGTTGGATCACCTCAAACGACATATGATAATCCACACAGGAGAGAAACCACACGAGTGTGACCAGTGTGGGACTGGATTTACACGGTTAAGTTCCCTCAAACAGCAT